CTCCGCCGCGGCGCCGAGCGCCGCCTGCGCGGGCTCTGCGGAGATCTCTAAGCCGGCGCGACAAAGGAGAGCTCTCCTGGGGTGGACTTCGCATCCTAAAGAACCCCACGCGGCTGCGCTGTCCGTTATTTGTTTTGTGAGAGAGCTGGCCTGCTTTGCAGAATCTCATTCCCTGTTCTCCGACGGAGCTTAGCAGCAGGCGCTGCCGTTCCTCACATTTACCTTGATGTTATTGGAATCTGTAAGGAACATGGTGAAGCGATCAATTCCCATGCCCCAGCCAGCTGTAGGAGGAAGGCCGTACTCCAGTGCAGTGCAGAAGTTTTCATCAATAAACATGGCTTCATCATCGCCTGCAGCTTTTGCCTAAATGAGAAAATTAATAGTAAAAGGTGGGTTGCACAGAGCTAGATAGTGCCACTTCTGCTAACCCCTACCAAAAAGGAGCAATATCAATGTTTGTAGCAGCCATGGAACTGATGAACCAAAGCCCTGTACAGCTGCATCAGTGACAGATGAAGGACTCTCAGCACCTGCAGAACTGTGGAGGTCGCTTGTACAGGTGCTTCTGAAACAGCTCTGGGCTCCACTGCTTTCTGATCTGCAAGTTTCCTTTCTAGACAAAGGCCCGGGTCCTTCACTTCAGTAAAAGCTATGTCCAGGGCCACATGTCAGCAGATGACAGTGGAATAAATTGCTTTCAAAGGCTTCTCGGGTTCTTTACTGCTTGCAGCCCCCCCCCCTTAATGTTTGCAGAAACAACTAGGAAGCATAATTGAATCATCAGTAGTTGCTCCATGAAACAACATTTAGGGATTGCTTTTTTCCCCTCAAGTAAAACGATTTAAAAACCCTACACTGAGATGGTAACTAACACATCTGACACTGACAGCCTCCAAGTGCTAAAAGTCATAAGAATAAAAACGCGGGCTAGCCAACCCTCTCAAATTTAGAAAATGCCAAGTGTTGAAACAATAAGCATTTTTGCTCATGCAGTTTGAAGGAAGACTTTACAAAAGACTGTTGAAGCAAACTTTTCTGCCTGACTGAAAACCTGAAATGTGAACTGCCATCCTTCATCCCAATCTCCACCTTAACATTACATTTTCAGGCAAATTTTCATTCAATACATATAATCGTATGTCTGCTCAAAGTAATAACAACCCTTTTCAGCAGTAGGGACTAATGACAGATTTGGAATAAACATAGGAAATATTCTTTGCTTACGTGCCTGTATCATTGATTCACTATCAGCAAGACACCGTACCTTGGCCTGATCCTCAAAAAGCTGCCGCTGCCGGAAAGGATCGTTAAGTTCCGTGTACGCATTGCACACTTCCTTCTTCATCACAAAAAGTTCAAAGCGTTCTGTTAGTCCCCGATGAGAGCGATGCCTATGTGAAGATGACAAAACAACCACACCTTAAAATAAACATCTTTACAGAAGCGAAGAGCACACGCATTACTTCAGGAGGATTACCCACACTTAGCAGTAACCGCTGTCAGAACTTCAAACTACTAAGCATCAGCACACCTCTTCCCTGGATGATGGGTTACACAGCTCAGGAACCAATGTCTACCTTGGCTAGTGTTAGAATTCACAAACTAGTATACAACATAAAAATCTCTGTTTTCACCTATGTGACTTCTTTTTGCTCCTTTGTTTTTTTTTTCTTTTTAATAAAGTAGGAGTAGAGGGTTTGAAAGAGTTACACACTGACCGTGACTCATACTCTTACCATTTGGCTAGAGGACTCATGATCTGTGGGTGGTCACAGATGAATGTAGGGTTGATACAAGTGACTTCCAGGAATTCACCGACTAACTGGGAAAACAAAAGCAAAACAATTATGTAGAGTACAATATCACTTTCCTAGCACCGCCTTTCCCAAACATCCTACTTCTCTCTCTTCACTACTGAAGAAGGTACCGTAAAACTGAGAAGTTTCCCAAATAAGAATTCCTGATCATGGTAACGTCTTCATTAACAGAGAGTGTGTGTCACAGTTGGGTAAGAAAAATGGCATAGCAAAAAATGCATAAAAATTAGTAACATAATTCAATTTGGACATTACAACAAAAGCCAATAGGAAAAGCAGCAGAAAAACAGCTATCAGGCAATATTCTGGGTACAAAGGAAAAGACTTAATACAGTTGATAGAAGAAGCGTATGGTAAGCCTACCAGTTTCGTAAGGTACATACAAATGCACAGATCTCACAGACAAAACTGACATAAGATAAAGCAGATCTGCTTTAAGCTCAAGAGACCAGTTATCAAACTAAAATCCTCCAGCACTCACATTAAGCAGGCATCGGTAAACTACATTTTGGTGTAGACAATGCAAAAAAAAAGATTCTGACACAGCAAGTTTTCTCACTGTGATACAGAAATAGATGAAGTGCATTTCAGCATGTTTTCCCAGATGCAGCTAAACTGTTGCTCTGAAGAGACTTCTGTTGATAGAGATAGATCCTCAAAGGATCATAAAACCACCACCTTTACTTACTCTGTCAAGAAGCCTGGCTGTTGTCCTGGGAGGTGGACACTCAACATTTCTCTCTGCACAAAGGTCATCAAAGAACCTGCGAGTTTCTGAAATTGTTGTAGACAAAAATTAGAAAAAGCCACCCAAGGCAACCATGTTTTTTTCTTTCTGCATCCTTCAACGTGTCTTAGAGTGATTTATAAGATCTTAGTGGTAGAAATCATGGAAAACATGAGCTTAAACGTCCATCTGCAAAAACACTGTTTGTTTTTAATCAGTTTACACTAAAATTTAAGTTATTTTATATTTCAGAAACTTGACAACAGTTAGGCACAACCCCACATGACTGCTGGACATTATTATTTGGAAAAAAAAAATGGGGTGGGGAGGAAATACCACTAAAAAGTGTAAGAACTCATTTCCTTATGGCTCTGGATTCCAGGAATAAAATAGCACATACACACATTTTGAAAAAATCCCAGAATAATCATACTCCTAACCTATGATCACAGGCATGGAGACTCAACTGCACGTGAGACAGAAGAGATAAGAAATAAAAAGCTGGGTCTTTTCAACAGATCAAGAAGTCCCCAGATCATGCCTCTTGAGTATACAGCGTCGCATATACTCAACAAAGGAAAAGGCAAAAGAGTCAGATCCTGCCAAAGACTGCAAGGCATGAAGGCTTCTTTCTGGACTCTTAGGTAACAGACAAAACCAGAGAAAAGCAATCCCATGTGTCAGTACCACCTCAAAAAAGCAGCCGACAGGCTGCAGGCTGAGAACTTGAGACCTTTTGCCCTCTTTTTGTTAAGGAAGAATGCTAGGACATTCATACTCAGCATCTAACCTTCAGTTTCAAAACACTCAGCTGATGGAAATTTCACTCCTAGGACCTTTTCCAGATCATACACCATGTTAATTCGCCGGAAGGGAGGGGTAAAATCAATCTCATAGGCCTGTCCATCTTGACCATCTGGATGGTAAGTGATCTTGTAACTTCCAGTAATATGTTTCACCATCCCTGCAAAAGGAACCTGACATTTAGAAGAGTATGCCACACAATACGGAATTCTTCTTACTCTTTTCTAATTACTATTGCGTACGTCACCTGAAAGCAACTTCTCTGTAATTTCCATCAAGTCGTGGTAGTCTGCATAAGCCATATAGAATTCACAAGTTGTGAACTCAGGGTTGTGAGTCAAATCGATTCCTTCGTTCCGGAACTGACGCCCAATTTCATATACTCTGTCTATGCCTCCAACCACCACCATCTAAACAAAAGGAAATTCTAGTAAACTCACTAACTTTTGAAGAAGAACTAAAGAGAGCTCAAACACACACAACCACAATGCAACCTTACAAATCTCATTCAAATAACTTTTCTTTCCTCCAGTCCAATGAGTCTCACCTTTCTTCAAGAATAATCCTCATTTTAGCTACATTTACTTTCTTAGAATAAGACCATAAGAGTCTGGACAATATAGGCTTAGCCATGAGGGGCTTGTATTTTACCTTATGATAAAGCTCTGGAGCAATTCTCATATATAAATTCATATCCAGTTCGTTGTGGTACGTAATAAACGGTTTTGCCACAGCTCCACCTGGAATTATATTCATCATAGGAGTTTCAATCTGTAAAATAGTAACAACAAAGAAATTAATTTAACAGTGGCA